TTGTTGCAGTTGTTGCTGTTTCGGGGCAGGTTTACGCTCTGGTCAGGTTGGAATTGGTCTTGTCACTGTATTTTCAGGAGTGATTTCATTGCTGCTGAAGCTTGCAGAGACTGGGGAGCTGGCTTCGTTTCTGCACAACTTGCAGCTGGAGTCTGCAGGTCTGCAGTGAATCGACCCCCAGAGCAGGAGATTAATGTGGTTTGTGCCCATTTTATCTCTGCATCTTCTTGTCCTATTTAGATTATCCCTGCCGGGTTTTGTGTGAACAGTTGTGCTCTGGCAAGATCGAATGCCTGTGGGCTTGAGCTCTTCGCAACTACCCCAGCCAGGGGGAGAAAAGAATAAATTAGAAAAGGAGAAGTAAATAGAGGAGGCATTAGTGGAATCGGGTTGCATGCAGATATCAGGAAAAAGTGAGAAAGGTTCGTGATCTCCTTTACAAAAATAGCAGAAAGTATCGCGAAAGTATTCACCATTGTCATTAGCCAGCTGGGATCTGGAGTCCTGCAGGAGGGGCACACAGTCGGTTAAGCAGCGTTTGGTTGGCAAAGGATTTAAGTCAGCAAGGATATCGGTGGTGCACTCTATGACAGCTCCCCTCCCCAAGACATATTAACAAGAGCTGCATCTGTCCTCCCTCCACTGCTTTCACTCTGCCATCAGATCTTGGGGCTCACAGTGTCAGTCCCGGATCAAGGGCTTTAACACAGAGCTGAGATATTTCTTTTTTTTTTTCTCTTATTTCATCTCCAAAAGAAAAGCAGAAGGCGCTTTTATTGCATAGACAGCCATGGTCATTTTTTGTTTTCAGTTCTAGGTGTTATTATTAGGTACTGTGCTTTCTACCAGTGTAATATTTGCTCCCTACGCACTCAGTTAACCTGTGGTCCTTGTGCACCGCCCCCTATAAAAGAGCATGATGAGTTCTGCTTGTACCTGTTCCTGAGTGGTCTTGATCTCCCTGCTGGGCATTCTTACACAGGGGCATGTAAGTGGACCCTACTGCATTTGTGGAAGAGTACTTGAATGGCTACAAAATATTTCTGATTTAAAAAGACAATCAACAAAATGAAGGCTGAAACAGGAACAAAACGTTATTGATCCCTTTCTTTACCCCTTCCTGAGTGGAAGATCCAAATTGATGCTTCATTTTCACAGTCCTGTTCATACTGTGTTTTAGTTCGTTTAGGCTGAAGGGGATTTTTTTGTTCTTGTTGACCCTCAAAAAGAAACAAAGTATTTCATTCCAGCATGATGCAAGTTTCAGGAAGAAGAGTTTTGGGGGTCTCCCAGTTTAACTCATTTTAAGTTAGCTCTGCTTGCTGATGTGCATTCATCAAAGCTGTCATCTGGAAAATCACATTGCGCAAATTCTTTGGCCACATGTTGTCAAAATAATGTGCCTGGAATAATGTGCCTGGAATTTTTCTTATCATTATTCAAACCTTTTATTTAAAAAAATGCAGTGTTCACAATGCGGTTCGGATGAACTAATATGTAATTCTAATATAAAAAGTGATATGCAGTATGTATTTATTAGCCTGTGACATAAATCTGTGTCTGTGCCTCAGATCTGAACAAGTGCAACATCAAATAAAACTCACTCTCTTATCTCAGCTGTGGGTCTCTGTCTTGGAACAGTCAGTCCCACAGGTGCTGTTTGAAGTTGCTTCAAATTAAACCATGAAACAATGCTTTTAGAAACAATTTTACCAGCTCCTGTATTAATTCTACAGGATGCTCTGTGGCGTGGCCATGTTTTGTTGGCACTTGGTCGTTAGGGAGTTTTATCACTGAGTTATTGGTTGACAGATCAAATATAAAATAGCTGTTCATTTAGTTTTCTATCAAGATGGTTTCATTTTACAAGGCAAGAATGTAAGTCATCACATGCTAATTTACAGTTACAGTACCTGATTGCAAGGGATTGGAAACCCTGATCCCCTATGTCCAACATAAATATCTGAGTCCCACAACTGCATTTCTGTATCCCCGGTATTACTATAGCTATAAAACCATCTTTTGCAATAATAGGACTATTGAAAATGGATGTGCATGTTCTGCATTACTTTTGTTACATAATTTTCTGTAACTGAACATACTGTATGAAAATCCTTACAGTACGTAAAAGGCACATTTTCTTAATAGCGGTATAATTATGAATTAAAAAAGGTATTATACATAATAAAATATTAATAAACAGGAATAAATACAGTATTAAGAAAACTGTTTTTATTTAAAAGGCCAATTTAATCTGCTCAGTAAAAAAAATGTTCTTTACACTTCATAGAACTGTTTAGCAATAACTTAACCTACTTAGTGAAATCAGTATATAATTTAAGACCTGTCAGATTTACGGGCACTAAAGTCCTTTTCATTAAATATTTAATACCATTTAGTAAACAAGTGTTTATTTCATTTTACTTGTTTCGTTGCTCATGAGGGATTACCTCACATCCGTACAACATCTGAAATGTCAATCTAATAAAACAAATAAGCCGTCCTCCTGTAAATCTGA